GTGTTTCTAGCCTGGGTTTGTCATTCCAGCAGCCAGGGAAGGGTTGTCACGGGACTTGGGTTCAGCATTGCTGGGCTGTGACCCCCCCCCTCCAGAGTCAGAGCCTGACCCCTGGCCCTGGGAAAGGAACGTGTGGAGGTTGGGGCTGGGCCTCTCTGAGCTTCAGTTCTCTAAATCCCACTGACTCTGGGGGTCGCCCCCATCCCTAATGCAAATCACTAAGTTTCCTTGCAAGTAGGAAATCAGAATCCATGTTCCCTGTTGGTACCATCTTAGCATTTATCTCCCTAAGATAAATAGCAATTCGGTGAAAAAAATAATTGTCTTTTGGGGCAAATTGCTGCCTTAAGTTCCACCTTGATTTATATCACTATTTTGCTGTATTTGTAGAGGCTCTGGAGGCAGGTCCCTGCCCCCCACGGGAAGGGTTCCAGGATCAGGAAGAACAGGTCCCAAATGCCCTGCAGTCGTAGCACGTAGAGAACATACACGGAACACAAACAGACGCTCCCAAAGGTGTCTGTGAGCTTCCCAAACTGGAGCACAGCTGGAATCACCCGGGTTTTGCATCCTCGGGCTCTGGGGTCAGTGCTGGCGTGGTGGGCAGAGCTGGGATTGCTGGGAAAACATGTTGGGAATTGTTATAAATTACGATCACAAGGGATCAAAATACCAATTAGAATTTATTAATTGTTTGGTTACAGCAAGCAGAATATGAGCAAAGTGCAGTGCTGGGCGACAGGGGAGTCACCGCTCCACCAACTGCCACAATATCATGCTAAGACAGTCTCTTTTTATATCCTTCTAGTTCCGCTTTCCGTGATGTGGCAATTGTACTCTGCACATGCCTGGGATGTTGCTAGGGGGTCTTTTCTGCCTCCCGGTGGTCGTTGAGGCTGAAGTAAGATGTCTTCCTCTTTCTGCCCTTTGGCTCTTGTGGCTTTTGTCCTCCTTATATGGGTTGTCCTTGCATTTCTTGGAACATTTAACAATCTTAAGATATATCTCGCTTAAGCATTAGCACAGCTCTTTGTAGTTTAGCACTTGCTTCAGCTTAGCTTAGCGGTTAAGCTACACATCCTCTTTGATAAACAATACCACCCAGCGTAGTCTATCACAATCCCCCCTTTTTCTTTTTCATGATTATTTGTTTATCAAACATTACTTTCTTGTTCCCTTTGAGAGTAAGCAAATTTTCTTTTACTATGATTACAACTATTATCACAAATACAATGCGTTATTTCACTCTCATCATCAGGCTCATCAGTGGCTACAATACTGTATCTCGAAGTAAGCATTAATAATTTTGCAATTTCAAAGCGTTCTTTAATAAAGCGTAAAATATATTTTAAAATGCATGGTCCAAACATTAGTCCCAGTATGATCATGATTACTGGTCCTGCTAGGGTTGAGAGTAGAGTGGTTAGCCATGGTGAAACATTAAACCAGTTCTCATACCACGATCGATTGGTTTCTCTATCTCTCTTTCTTTGTTCTAACCGCTTCCTTAACTCTGCCATAGCGTCTTGTACTACTCCTGTATGGTCAGCATAGGAACAGCATTCTTCTTTAAGGGCTACACATAATCCCCCTTCTTTTAGGAATAATAGATCTAGTCCCCTTCTATTCTGTAGAACCACTTCTGATAATGACTTGACAGACGTAGCTAAGTTTTGTATGGATTGTTCTATTCTTGCCAAATCTTCATCGACAGCCAACTGTAAGTCTTGTATTTCCTTTCCCTTTACCAAAGAGGTTATTCCAGTTCCTACTCCCGCTCCTGCAAGCAACAAACCTGCTATAGTTACCGCGGTGACGGGTTCTCTGACCTGTCTGGGAAATTCTCCTTCAAAATGTCGAAATACTTCTTCTGAGGTGTGATACATGATCCTAGGTATGATAATTACTTGGATACAAAATACACTTTCATTAAAGACATTAAGAGATAAGCATGGAGTTACTCCTATGTCTGAGCATACCCATTTTGCTCCTCCTGATGGTATTACCCATTTATCACTTTTATTTCTATGTTGTCCTATGGCCCATTTAGAGAGTTTCATTACATAGGGATTGGTACTCAACAGGGATAGTTCCGATACATCTGCCTTTACCTGTCACCATTTGTATTGTTATCCCCTGAGTATGATTTCTTTGCTCCTCCCATTTGCATTCTAGAGGATTTGATCCATTTGACCATCGGACCTTATTAGGTTTTCCTATTGCCTCAAAATAAGGCGGCCTGACATTATAACATAGCCAGCAATCTAATGTAAGGTTTGGTTTACTCTTGTTAAGAGCTTGGTAAGAAGTTTGCATCAAATCTCATAAGGGGTCTTTAGGTTCTGACAGCTCGGATATAGAGGGTTCAGTAAAAGATTTAGCAGCATTGGGAGTAGGTTTAGTAGCATCAGGTATAAGGGGTTTAGCAGCAGTCAAAGGGTTGTGTTTTTTGGGGAAAAGGGTTAGAATAACTTTTTGGGGTACCCAAGGATTTAAAATCGGATTCGGTCCTACTGGGAGAGGGTCGTAAGGGACTCTTTCTTTAATGATTTTAAAAAAGCTTCCCCTATCTGATCCAGGTTCCCAGAACCTAATTCCCCATATTCTTCCCAGTAGCCATTCATCACTTTCTGGTTGTTTGACTTTTATCTCGACTCTCCAACAAGTCGGACTGTTACAAGACCCTTGTACTACCCCATCATAACCATGTCTTGGTTTAACACAACCAGGGGGTCCCCAAACTACACTTATATATTTATCTCCAGGTGTGTCCCAGTCAGATGCAATTGTCTCACAGCCCCAATAACCACAATAAAAATGTCCCGGGTAATTGCAGTAACCTTTGCCAGGATTTGAGGCTGGACAAATGTAAAATGCTTTGCATTGAGCTTGTCTCTTAGCCACGTGTGAACAGGTTTTTCCATAACAACCTCCCGCTTCAATGGGGACTAAGGAATGTAAATGTACTGTAAAGTTCCAACTACCCCCTGACGTAGTACGATTTTGTATGACTTTTGAATCCTGCAAATTAACAATTTTCCACATCACAGGTTCATGTGGATTTCCTGCGTATGTTGGTATTGTCAATAGTACAGTGGGGATTACGATTATGTAAATAGTGCCTAGAGAAAATTTTCGGCTTTTATTAATTCCGACTTTGTTATTAATTTGGATGTTACCAGCTCCTTTTCCTTCACCAGTCCTGGGGGAGTTCGGCCATCGCAGCTTGCGTGTCCCACAGCTTAGGCTCTTCCTCCTTCCGGGGTTTCCTCCTCTGCCTCGCCTGTCCACTCGATTGTTTCGAGACACAGGGTGTTCCATCTTCTCGGCAGCAGGGGTCCCAAGAGGGAATACGCTCTTTTTTCTTAATAAGACGTGCCGTGTATGCGGACCACGAGGCGTTTTTTACTATACGCCCGTCACACTGCAAGGCACGGATATCCCGTCGGCACTGAACTTTTATTATGTCTACTACAAAGGGGGCTGGTTCGTTCAGGTGAAAACAATAATTCTGAGGGTTAAATCCAAATATGAAATACCTCCACCACGTACGAGATTCTCTTGGAACTCCTCTTTCTTCTAATTTATTTAGTGCCCAAAGAGTAAAGTTCCGTTCTGATATATAGCACTGATCACAAACTCCCCTAGGAGGATATCCGAATCTACAGTGCTTCCACCATTTCTCTTGGCACTTTTTACACTTGAAACAAACAAATGGATAACATTTACAACCTGGTGCATTACACCTCACTCTTATATCTCGGTTATCAATGTATTCTGGATCTACTTGTCTCCTATATGTTATGTTAGAACCAACATATTTTAACAGATTCCTTTGCCCCACTTCGTGATCTTCCATAAATAATATACAAGTAAAAATAGAATGAATGCCACAATAAATGCTAGTAGACACTTAATTCCAAAAGGTAAGGCAGCAAAGAAATTGCTCAATGTCTATCATAACTTATCTTCTCAAGACTAGTTTGGTGTCTCCAGGAGTGCTGACCATTTTCCAGCGTGGGGGATTCACTAGTCCGTCAATGCATGTGTCCATGCAGTTCGGATTGCTGTTTCTACATTTTCACAGTCCTGTTAAATATAGGCACTCACAGTATATCTATTTAATGAGCAACATACCAGCTTTTTTGGTATGAGCATCATCTTTGTCTAAATGACAGTATATTATAGAGCAGCATTAAATAGAGCAACATTAAATATAGCAGCATTAAATACAGCAACATTAAGGTCCTAAGTAAGGATTGTGTTTAGTTCTTTATTAATTTTTTTTTTTTTTTTACTTTTCCCGAGCTTTTGGGATGCCAGGAGGTGTGGTATTCTCATTTTATACCCAAAGTTTCTATTAGTTCCTTAATGGACTTGGTTTGCTGTAGCCCTTGAGGTAGGGAATGTCTTCCCACTCAAAGGTAAAATAATTTCTACTTTGTTCTTCTAGGGGACATGCCCAGAAGGCATCTTTTAGGTAGAATTCCAAACATTTGGGTTTATTTGTTGTTCAATGGTTAAGGGGTAAGTTTTAGTTCTTGACTAAATTTATTCTCAGTTTCAAATTTTACATTTTTATACAATTATAGCCATCAGGGATTTGTCTAATTGTTGACTTTTCAGTCCCTGTATCGACTGAAAGGTGGACTCCTATTTATGGAGACTTAATTTTAATTTTATCAGGGGCTCAGGATGACTACGGTCCCCTAAAATATAGAGCCCTTTGACTGTCTTATTCCGCTTTCAAGACTTCTTCATCTCGAATCCTTTTGAACTCTGTCTAATCTGCAGAATTCAGGGGACTGATATATACCCTATGGTAGCTTGGGCTCCCTCCATGGGTACTTCTCTTAAAGGATACATTCGGGTGGTCCCTCTTTGACTTTTGGTTCTTCGTCTAGGGGGAGAATCTGGTTCTGCATCTGATGGATAAGGTGGAGGGGAGCTCCATGACTCTGAATCTTTAACAGAGTCCATTTGCCTCCTTCTTTCCCTTAAAGGGAACAGGTGGGTATTTTCACTGGCTTCTAACCATATAACGGCATAAAAACTCTCCTCTGGGCAAAAGGGTCTTTTATCGCTAACATACCAATTTAAAAGTTCACAGACCCAATTCTCAAAAGTACCGTACATGGGCCAGTAGGTGTTATCTCCTATTTTTCTACCTCCCCACACTTCAATACAATAGTAAACCATTTTCTCCCTTGATCTTCTATAAGTGCTGGAATAACAACTCCAGTTTTTTAGGAGTTTTCCCAAGGGACTATCAGGGGGAATCCCCAGCGACCTAGCCTCAAAGCCGCTTTTTACTAATCTTCTTTTCTCCAGAGAACTATTTCCAATCTCTTTCTGAGGTTCCTCTTTTTTACTATTTTTAACCTCATTCAGAGGTTCCTCTTTTTCTGCGATAGATGTGTCCCTAGTACGATTCCTTCTACCCTGAAAGCCGCAGCTGCCTAGTACAGACTGTCTTTTTCCCAGGGGGTCCTGCTTTGAGTTCCTACTCTTGGGCCCTTCCGCATATTGGCTTTCCTCTGAGTTAAGGAGCTTTTTATTATTAACCCAAAGATTTAACTGTTGCCTTACCCAGTCTTCTTCTGACCCATAGACCGGCCAGATGACATCGGGTAAGATTTTCTTCCCTCCCCATATCTTAGTACAATATATTATCATTTTTCTCTTATCTTTCTGTGCTGTTCCTTGGAAGTGTTTCCAATTGATTAAGATATAACCTAGAGGGGTATTCTGAGGTACTGAGGGTACCCGTCCCATGGGAGTCGAAGGCTTGCTGCCCTTCGCACCCATCTTCTGGAATATCTGCAACCACACACACACTTGTTCCCCTTAATCCTGGCCCAATCCCTCGCGGGAGTTGGGAACCGCAGTACTAAAGGGTCCGCACTCGCTTGGCTCAGTGTGTTGAGCCTCTCATCTGTTATATTCCAGGAAACCCAATCCCGCCGAACGGTAATCCCCGCGAACCAAATCGCGATATACTTACGCGTCCCGCGTCTTCGTCCGGACTTTTGTGCACAAAATATTACAGGATTTGACCGGTTCTTCCTTTGCTCAATATTCCCAATTTAGGTTCGTCGGTCAGGTTGCAGTGAACTGCCGGTCTCATACGGGGCCGCGAACAAGCGCGGGGCGCCTCCCCGAAGAGCCATAGCCCACCGTTCCTGATCCCGGGTTTCGGCAACAATTTGTTATAAATTGGACCACAACAGATCAATAAACCAATTAGAATTTATTAATTACAGCAAGAGAATATGAGCAAAGGGCAGCGCTGGGCGACAGGGGAGTCACCGCTGCACCAACTACCGCAATATCACGCTAAGACAGTCTTTTTTATATCCTTCTAGTTCCGCTTTCCATGATGTGGCAATAGTACTCTGCGCATGCCTGGGCTGTTGTTAAGGGGTCTTTTCTGCCTCCCGGTGGTCGTTGAGGCTGAAGTAAGACGTCTTCCTCTTTCTGCCCTTTGGCTCTTGTGGCTTTTGTCCTCCTTATATGGGTTGTCTATGCATTTCTTGGAACATTTAACAATCTTAAGATATATCTCGCTTAAGCATTAGCACAGCTCTTTGTGGTTTAGCACTTGCTTCAGCTTGGCTTAGCAGTTAAGCTACACATCCTGTTTGATAAACAATACCACCCAGCGTAGTCTATCACAGGAATGTGTTGGGAGCGTGTCCTGCTCCTCCACCCGCTCGGTCGCTCGGGCAAACACACCAATATGGTGCGACAGGACCACCACGTGAGCCCAGGCTGTCGTCTCCCACCCATCTCCTCCTGTCTTTATTTTCCAGGTTAATTTTCTCTCTCATAAAGGGAAAAGGTTAATTATTTATCAAGACACAAAAAGCTGCGTACCCACAGAATGGATTGGGAGGCTGCGGGTAAACACTCGCTGTGTTGGTTTGGAAAATGAAAAGTGGAGGATTTCCCTTTCATCTGGGTTGTTTCACGCTTAGGAAGAAGAAATTTAGGAACCGGTTCTGACGGTGACAGCTCTTAATATGTTTAATTTGTTCCCTTTAAGAGCTCCCTGCACTGTCACTAATGCCAGGAGGCCGGGTGGAATGTTTGTTACTCCTGAGATGTTTCCTTTTCCATGTTTTCAGAGCAATGGCTGCTTAAACTCCTCATTTTGGAGATATTTTAGATTTTTTTGCCCTCCTGAAGCCTGGAGAAAAGCTGTGTGTCCTCTGGGATGGAACAGGCTGAGGGACAGGTGTGAACAGCAAAGCTGAGGAGAGCAAACGAGCACATGTCCCAACTGTGGAACGAGGGAGAACTGGGAGAGGAAATGGTGTCAGCACCAGATTGTAGAGCAAACATCAGCTACCAGGGATTGGGAGCCTGTGGTTCCCAAATCCCTGTGGACAAAGTGCAGGCTGGTGGTGTTTTCAGTGTGATTCCTGGATAATTGAAGGGTTTTCCTGCAGGTTCGTGGCTGACAGTGATTCTGGATCGTGTGTGTGTGGAGATATACACACATATTGACTTTGGAAAAGTCCTGCTTGACCAGGAGCTGTGTCATCACAGTGCTCCAGCCTCCCATGGAGGGTGGTTGGATGAATAACAAGGTACTGGTATCCTGTGACTTAATTCCTGCGAATGCCTGGGAATGAGCTACTAAACCACACAGCACAAGCCTGCCCGCAGCAGATGCTGAATCAGAGTAATTAAGAATTAAAAAAGGTGATTTCCCTCCCCAAACAGCCGCAGAGGCCTCAAAGTTTATTATTAACGTGTCCACCCTGCGTGTGCTGGCACAAAAAGAGGTGTTTGCCCGATAAATCCCGTGTGCCCTTTCCCACAGCGCTGGAGATCCCGGTGCCAGAAGCGGTCCTGTGTGGAGCCCAAGAGATCAAAGTCCTATTAAAAGAAACCCGTATCATTTCCTCTCCTGGGGGAGAAGTTAATTGGCGGGGGAAACGCTGCTCCACACGGGAATTTCGGCCGATTCCTTGGACACGGCTCCTTCGGGTGGGGGTTTTCCCCCCAGGGGGCCTCAGGCGTGATCTGCCACGACCCAGCAGCCAGGTGACACTGGTGTCACCTGCTCCGAGGTAGGTTCTTGCTGGGCCTTCCTCCTCCTCCTCCTCGCAGTGCTGTTCCCAGGCGCTTCCTGCGCGGCGTTGTCCCGTGGGCGGGGAGGGCCGTGGAGGAACGACGAGAGGATGCCAACACTAAAATAACCCTCCCCGCGTCCACGCTCGGCCCCTGAGGCAGAGGAAAGGGGGGGGGGGGGAGAAGGAAGTGCGGCCGCCGGCCACAAATAACTCCGATCCACCCCCCTCCCCGGCCCCCCGGCGCGCCTCCGCCGCTGCCTGCAGGGCCGGCCGGGCGGGCTGGGCTACCCCGCGGGTTCGGTCCCGTCCCAGGGGCGGTGTCCCCCCAGGGCTCGCTGCAGCCCCCGGGGCCAGTGTTGTCCCAGGATTTCGGGTCCCGGTCCCTCCGCGGCCCCCCGATCCCGCCCCACCACCGGGGGCGCCCCAGCGCTCCACCCCCGCCCTCCCCGCCCCGCCTCGCACTACAAATCCCGCCTCGCCCCGCGCGGCAGGAAGCGTGGGGCCGCGCCGCCGCGGGGCGCCCCTGGGAGTTGTAGTCCCGCCGGCCGGAAGCCACCGGCCCGACGCACCCCGCGCCGGCGGGCGGCGCGCGCGCGGCGGGACTACAAGTCCCACCCCGCCCCGCGCGCCCGGCCGGGCGGCAATGGCGGCGGGCGGCGCCTGCGCGCGCGCCCTCCGTGCGGACCGCGCAGAGTGAATAATAAAAGGTCTCCTCGGCGGGCGGGCGGCGGAAGGCGGCGAGAGGGGCGGGGAGGCAATGTCCAAGGGCCCCGTGCGGGGCCCGCCGCGGCCGGCCGGCGAGCGCCGCCAGCGCGCTGCAGGCGGCAGCCCGAGAAGCCGCAGCACTACACGTACGTAGAGCGGAGCTGCCCCGCGCCGCCCGCGCGCCAACACGCGCCTGACGTCAAAGCGTGCGGCGCCGCGCGGGGGCGCGCGGGGGGGGGGGCGCGCGGGCACCGGCTGGAAACCGGCCACGGCCGGCGCGGGCCGGGGAGGGAGGGGGCGTGAGGGGGGGAGGATGGGGAGGGAGAAGGGAGGGGCGGGGGATGAGCGACAACCCCCCCCGCGCCGTCGCTCACACACCTCCCCCGTGATGCACCGGGGCGGCCGCGCCTCCCCTGGGGGGCGAGGGGACCCCCCCGGTGACACCCCTGTGCGGGGGTGGGGGCCCGTCCCCTGGGCTGTGAGGGGATCGCCGGACCCTCAGCTGTCACCCCCGCCCGGGAGTGATGGGACCCCCCAGAGCCTCGGGTGACACCCCTGTGAGGGGGTGCAGATCCCTCCTCCCGGTGCGAGAGGACCCCCCGCACCCACTGCTGTCACCCCCGGACCCTCAGCTGTCACCTCTGTCCGAGGGTGGGTGTCCCTCCCCTGGGGTGTGAGACCCTCAGCTGTCACCTGTGTCCGAGGATGGGGGTCCTTCTCTCTGATGTGAGAAGACTCCTGGAGCCTCAGCTGTCAACCCCAGGCCTCGGGTGACACCTCTGTCTGGGGTGGGAGTCCCTCCCCTGGGGTGTGAGGGGACCTTCAGTTGTCACCCCCAGACCCTCGAGTGTCACCTCCTCCCAGGGTGGGGGTCCTTCTCCCCCTGTGCCACCTCACATGGTGCTGTGGTTTGGGCAGTTTTGGTCCTGGTGAGCTGCCACCAGGGCTGTCACCTCCATCCTCCACCCCCTGAGGGCTCCCAGGGGCTCCTGGGCACCTGTGTAGGGAGGTGTGAGGTGATGGGAGGTCCCCGGTCGGTGAGGGAGGGCTGGAGAGGGTTCCTCTCAAGGCAGGTGTCTTTGGGAATTGCACACATGGGGAATATCCCCACTGGAAGTGTTACACCGAAATCACGAGGAGCGTTTGCCCCGCTCCCACCTCTCCTTGCACCGCTCGGGCGTGATCCCACTGTGTGTGTGTCACCTCTATCCCGGGGGATATTCCCTCAGTGAAGGCATATTTCTGGAATGTGTCTTCCCTGACCAAAGGATACCATTTCATTGTGTTGTCCCGAGGGTGTACGACCCCTTGGAGCTGTGTGGAGTTGGCCAGTGTGTGATAAGTCATTTGGGTTGGAAGTTGTGGTGATGATATTCCCTTCTCCTTGTGCAAAAAGGATAACGGGGTAGATTGGGAGCGAGCGTTTTCTTTGTGACATGGGCTGGCGATGGACGTGTGTGGATGGAAACAGGTCAGATGTTCCTGCCCTTAAAAGAAGAAAAGTTTGGGACTGTTCCTCGTGAACAAAATATATGTGTTGAGCTGTTTGCCCTTATCATTTTAGGGTGTTGTCTGAAAATTGTCCTGCAAATACCCGTATCTCTGGCTTGTGTCGATGCCCCCACCCAAAGTGAGACGTGTGTTTTGTTAACTTTTAATTCCCATTTTCATAAAGTTGGTGATGGACTTCTTCCCTGCGTCCACACTGGGATGTATGGAATAAAAAGAGCTTCAGAAAATTTGTAGACACTGATCTGTGCAACCTTTTGCTGGGATCACAGGCTGTTTGCCATCCCTTTCCTTCAGGCCATTTGGAATACCAGGTCTATGGCAGAATGAGGGCTCCTGGGTTTTTTCTCCATTGTGAAGATCCTGTTGTGATCTTGGGGAGATGGCGAGTCACAGCCTCGTAGGTTATGCTATTTCTGGTGGGATCTGCAAGTTTGACAACTTTATAGGAGAAATGGGCATGGAGAAGTCTGCTGGGAATGTTGCTGTAGAGGTAAAAGAGGGAACAGGAGCTGGCTGTAGAGGTGGAGTGACGCCAGTGATGGAGAAAGAATCGATCAAAAGTGAGAGGGAACACAGGGAGCTGAGTTAGAGAGTGTAAGCACACTGGGTGGAGGAAGATGAAGGTGATAACCTGGCTAAGCATGACCATGGAAAGAAGGATATCGAGGATTAGGAAAAATAGAGGAAGAAAGAGTTCCAGAAATGGGAGGAGACTGGGACAGAGGAGGGAAATGGGACAGCGTGCAGCAAAGCTGGTGGTGAAATCAGCTTATTTCCAGGGGGCAAAACTTGTGTTTTTCAGATGGATGCTAAAAATACTTCAGTGAAAACAGTTGCAGAGGAGCTGAATAACCATAAGTGAAGGATGGGTTTGGGGCTGCCGAGTGCTGACAGCGGGATGCGAGCCATCCTTTGGAAGTCTTGGATTTCTGCACTGGGTCACATCATACTGTAAACCTCCCTCTGATAACATATGGGAACTTATTTGGTGGTCGTTCATGTGAACAAGTTGTATGTTGTCAAAATGTAAATATTTTCTTCCTTTTTTTTTTCTTTTCCTTAAATACAGTTTGTTTCCATAAAATGACATGAAGGTTACAAGTTGTAAACTCGAGTAAGCTTAATTATC